TGGCACATAATGACATGAGGTTTTTACTTTATCAAAATTAGCAATAAAATAAATCAGTTAAGGGGTGGGCAACATGATGATATTTTATCATTATCGTGATAAATTATGTTACAATATGCTTCCATATAAGCATATCATAGATATCGTCAGTACTGTTATTATTTATATGTGGCACTACAGGTTCTGTCTTGTCTGTTCCAACTTAAAAACTCTCAGAAAAACTAAAATTCATGCATCGAGTTTCTGACTGCCAGTATGGCAGTGAACCTCCAACAGCTCAGAGCATTCGTTACTGGTACCAACAGTTCCAAGAAAAAGGTCACCAGCATCACCAGATCTCACGCCGTGTGACTTTTTTTTGTGGGGGTACGTTAAGGATTCTGTTTATGTGCCACCACTCCCAACAACACTGCATGATCTTCAAAATCGCACTGAAAGAGTCGTGAGTACAGTGACACCCGACATGCTGAATCGAGTATGGGATGAATTTGACCATTGCGTTGATGTTGTCCGTACAGCTGGAGCAGGTCATATTGAGCATTTGTAAAATTACATGACTTTAAGCTCACCATTTACAACTTACTGCTTTGTTCTATAATGATTTACAAGTGAAATAAATCATTTTGAAATTGGATGAATCTTTTCGAATCCCCCTGTATTTTGACACGTTGCCCACCCCTAAAATAAATGCACCATATTGGTGTGCCTGAAATCAGTAGCCCTATTCACTAAATACTAGAAGAAAAGTGCATTTTAAGGTTGCGTAGTACCTCTGATCAAACCCTCAAGTGTGCTCAGTTTTTTACTTGGACTTGAATTATGAAGAGTTTCCACAAAATTAAACAATTTTCTTTCAAAATAAGGCAATTTTATTCATCTCTTATAATTAACTAAAATTGATTAAACTTAATCAACTCTCATGTTTCCAACACAACTCATTAAAGTTTATTAAACTTGATTTACTAGTGTTGGCTAAACTTGTGTTGGTCCAGCATATCTTACTAGAGTTGGTTGAAAAATGGTCACTATAGTGTCCAGTCAGGTTTTAAACCATACTGAATAGGGTAACACACCAACAGTGGCTAGGCCAAAAGAAAGACCAGAAGTTAACCAAAAGAAAGCCACATACACCCAAAGGAAGATAGCCTAAGAGTAACAGAACACATACATGGTGAATAAAACACAAGGGGAAAGTCATGTCTAATATGCAAATAGATGAACCCAGGACTCAAAATCTTATCTCCAGAAACATTCTCTCCAGCTGATAATGGCCTAAACTAAATGATAAATGATAAATGACCAAACTAAATTTCAGTATGCTGGTTCAACTCAAAGATCCCATTTTAATACATGAAATCACAAGAAAATCCCCAACTCAGAACAACTAAGAAATGTGGGATGCATCCTATTTTCAGTACCACAGATTATTTGGATATCTGTCTCATGACACCAGGTGGAAATCCCATGAAACTAGGAAAAACACAATTCATTCTCTTTTATTCGACTTGACTGAGTTTGGCTGATTTACTGCTTGGGATAATTATGTTCTTTCAGTGCTGATACTGTAAGCGCAACTTGAGCCAGTTCAATTAATATCAACTTCATTTGTTTTCTAAACACGTACAAGAGCCAGTTCAGAGTGGGTATGATGCTTTTGGACACTATTTAATACATAACTCCATCAGGCTGCTAGGTCAGGGATGGATTTCTGACTGGGCCAGTGAGGCCAGTGCTTAGGGGCCTTTGACTGCTGGGGGGCTAAGGGGTGCTTCAGACCACAAGACCCAAAGTGGCTCAAAGACTGGGGACAGTCCACTGTAGATGCAAAAATTAGATTAATGAAAAGCCATTGAATACGCAATGAATATATAATTTTTTTTCTGCTGCTGTTCAAACATAAACAAACACAAGCTATTCATTAAAGTTATTTTTCAGGTCTAGTTTTCTGTTATTATTATTACTTTTTGTTATTGTCAGAGTGTGGGGAGCCTCAGAAGACGCTTGTGCACGGGGGCCTCGTGAGACAATGACAAATACAGATTATTAAGAAATGTTGCATCCAAAATTGAGTCGCCAGCCATTTCACTTTATTATGGTTTACATAGCACAACATTCAAGTGAGTGTGAACTAACTTAAAGTGATAGTTCAGTGAAAAATCTAATTCAGACAATTATCCCCTCACTCCAAATAAAGCCAGTTACCCAAAACATGGGTTTGTGTCTGAAGTTTGTTTCTTTAGTTTTGCACAGATGAGCTAGCAAAAATGTAATGGAAGCTTTCACCTCAAAAGGTTTTTAAGCAATCTTAAAAATACTTGCTTATGTGGTTCCTCACAGTGTATGACATGCTGACATACAGACAAAATTCAGCCTTCAGTATGGCTGCAAGTTTTTTTCTTCTAGCATTGCGACACTCATTTGTTCATTTTTATAGATAGTAATATGTCATGTTGTGAGGACATCACATAACCTAGTTTGAGTACTTTTCATATACTCTGGTTTTAACTAATTTTGGCAAAGTGTTTAAAATATACATTTGAGATTTCAAATGCAACTCTTTCAACTCTAGTCTGCAGAGCTTCCATTGTGGACTGTTTAATGTAGTCTAAGGAAATTAAACCGACCAAATTCCATGTTGAAAGTTAACACTATAAATTTGGATGCATGTTATTGTTGTTATTTATTCATCATCTAACTCGTTTATCCTGGGTTGTGGGGGGAGATGCTGGAGCCTATATCACCGGTATCACTGGTGGAAGGCAGAAAACACACTGGACTAGGTGCCAGTCCATCATAGGGCACACACACACACACACACAAACACACACACCTAGAAGCAATTTAGTATTACCAACTGGAAACAGATATGGGGAGAACATGCAAACTCCACACAGAAAGCATCCTGGTCACCCAGCTGGGGAATTGAACCCAGGCCCTCCTTGCTGTGAGATGACAGCAATTATATTGTATTGTATTGTATTGTATCAACACTAGCATGTTAGCTTGAGGCTGGAACATTAGACTTGGACACCATAATGCACAACTGTTGTTTCAAATATCGTACTTTTATGATGTTGAGTACTCTAAAAACTAAAAGCTGAAACATTAACATATTATCATAAGACATATTTTCTTCCACTCCTAATTATTGCTGTATTGAAAAACTTTAATTGAGATGCCTGAATTGTGTGTATCATAGTCTGCCATATAGCTATAGTAACTACTCATGGAGTGGCCTATTTCAAAGATCATTTGGTATACAAAATACATTCTATCGGCAAAAGTATGTGGACATTTCTCCTAATTATTGCATTCAGGTGTTTTGAGCCACACCCATTGCTAAAGGGTGTATAAAGTCAAGCAATCTCCACAGACAAACACTGCATCAGACTGGGCTATACTGAAGATCTCAGTGACTTTAAGAATGGCACTGTCATAGGATGCCACCTTTGCCACAAGTCAGTTTGTGAAAATTCTGCCCTCCTAGATCCACCCAGGTCCACTGTAAGTGCTATCATTGCAAAATTGGAAGCTTCATAAAATGGGTTACTACAGCCAAGCAGCTGCACACTAACCTAAAATTACTATATGCGCAATGGCAAGCCTCGGCTGGAGCAATGGAGGGATAATGGTCTGGGGCTGTTTTTCAGGGTTTGGGGCCCTTAGTTTTGGTAATGTTAGGAGGGTAATGTTAATCATACACTTTACAAAGACATTTTAGACAAATACATGCTTCCAACTTTGTGGCAACAGTTTGGGGAAGACCCTTTCTATTGCAGTATGACTGTGCCCAAGTGCACAAAGCACGGTCTATAAAGATATGATTTGATGACCTTGGTGTGGAGCAACTCCAGTGGCCTGCACATGGCCCTGACCTCAACCCCACTGAACATCTTAGTGATGAATTGGAATGTCGACTGCAATTTCTGAAGAAATGAACAAATAAAAAAAAAATTATAATAAAACTTTACATGTCAGTTAAGTTTGTGGTCCAAGATGTCTCTGTATTTAAAATTAACAGGTTAACTTTTGACAGCGGCAACTATGAGATTCTTTTGAGGGGAGTCAGCTGTGTGAGGTGATGCACATTGAACCATGCTATGTGTAAGAAGCACCTTCTGTCTGGCCCAGAGCTGCTGCCTTAATATTCTAATGTCAAGGACACGAGTCTCCACAGGCAGGAACTCACACCTGCATTCTTCTCGAGAAGTAGAATATGTTCTCACTCTCTCTGCTGGGAAGCTTATCAGTATTTTAACCAACACGCAGCATTGCTGTCTAGACATAGGCTTACTGCAGAGGGCTGGGGAGAACAGTCATCTGGCCACAGAGTGGAGATAAATAGCTGAAGCTCAGAGGACACCATCATACCAGAAAGTGCTGCCCAAAGAGGCTTGTCTTTTCTAGGTAAATGAAGCCAATGCATGTAGGCTGCAATAAGTATTGATGAAGGATATAAACAATGTATGACTGTCATATTCAAACCATGCTATCTCTTTGGTTTTGACAATTAATCATGTACTTAAACATACCCAGTAATCAGATGTAAAAGCTGTTTCCCTCAAACATTTCGTATAACATTCTGTGGACACAGAAGAGTCATTTCAATATCTCTAAAGCAAAAACAAACTGTGTTTAAATATACATATGTATAAGAAAAAAAAGAAAATAGGAGCAGGTTTAAATAAAAATAAAATGTGTGATTCAATGGGCTAATATTCTGATGTTTACTTTTTTCCTCTTGATAATTGCCATAATAATCACAGAACAGATAAACATGTGAGTAAAAAGTAGGATAACTTGCTTGTAGACTTACAAAAATTAAGAAACGCAAAACTTTTCAAAGCGGAAATAAAACAAAAACATTATAGGTCCTTCCAGTGAAAGAGTATTTCAGTCCCACCATTCTATAGAATAACCTGGGGCGCCATCTCGTGTTAAAATAGGGTATTACAGCAGGTGGAAGCTATGGAGGAAATAGCCACCCTTTGATTCCTGCAAAAGCATGGATATAAGCTCTTTATTGACATGAAAATCAAACAAACATATTATTACAACTTCTTTGATAAGTAAAAGTTAGGAGGAACTTAAATCTTTGTCAAGGATTGAAAAAAATGTGCAGTTTCACTGTCCATTATGGACTAATAACACAAACTCAGAACAAGCAAACTTTCTGAATTGCCTCAGAAGGATGAATATTAACACACAGCAGCCTTCAGCTAAAACTCGGGCTTTGCTGCTCCTTCCCTGGAGAGTCTGTCTGCCTCTTCGTTTCCTTTGTAACCAGCATGGCCTGCGATGTGCATCTGAAAGCAAAGGATAGAAGAGTCTAGCCTTGGTTTACTATGTCTAAATAGATTTCTTCAGGGCTTTTCATTCCTGTAGAGATCACATATGGCAGTGTCTACCACACATGTAAAAAGAGAGATTCTGTATCATGTTAAATGTAATGTCTAGATGTAATAGATGCAAATCCCATTAAACTAAATGCTTGCAAAATTCCTTTACATGCCTAAGCTGTGACGCCTTGACACAGATTAAACAGTATAAATACCTCCTACATCAGAAAACATACCCATATAACCTCAAGCTCTCCATTCAGTTTGTCAAGCTTTTGGAAGTCCTCTTTATTGACCACTTCTCCACCCGTTCGTAGCTTCCAGCCATTGATCTTCCAGTTCTTCACCCAGCTTGTGATGCCTTTGTACAGCAAAACACAAGGGTTACATTAGCTAAACTGACCCTGCATAAATGAATACCATAGGTTTTCCCCTTATACACAAACTCTCAGTCAGTTGAGACTTAATTAAAAAATTAAGACTTACAAATTTGCTATGAATCAACTCAGACTGCAGGTTGTCCATACCATTAATTGTGAACTTGCTGTCTGTGTAGAGCACAAGCTTTTTGATGTTCTTGTCTCTGGCTTGCTCCAGTGCCTTACAGGCTGCCTGAATCAAACACAGAAAATGATCACTTCATCAAGTGGAGACAGAACAGCAGCGAGACAAGCAGTGTGTTTAACAAAGGCCCTTTTTACACTTGGCAATAACATCCAATCACTCTGATCTGATCATTATCTAATCAAGACACAGCACTTTTACACTTGTCTTTTTCAAATTTAGTGTCTGCAACCAGATGTTGAATGGATCTCATTTCCCCTGTGTGATTTTTACTGAGGACAGAATATTGCACAACTTGCCTGCAGAGAGCCTGTTAAAATCAACAAAATAAGTCTGCTGAATCAGTCATTACCACAGAAGTTTAATGTCTGCGATATGTGAAATTACATCAGTTTTACACTTTCCTGTTCTTTAAAGATCTCTGTGTGTGTGACGGCGGATGTGATGATGAAAGTTTGAGAGCTAGCTGAGTGGATGTGTTTGTTCATGGCAGTGGGTGGGAAGGGGTACTTGCTCAATGTGATGCAGAGGCAGGAACAATATTAAAGGGTGTGGGTGGAATGCATGTGACTTTAGACTGTTAATGTAGACAAGCTACACTGCATTTGCACACGCATGCAGAGATCCAATCACACTGCGTGCTCAACTACCTCGAGATCAGGAGAGCTAGAGCCATACACATTCCTATCACAATGCCAACTATCAACAGGACCATAATTTCCTGCAATACTTCTGGAACTGCACACACACAAACCTCCTACCTGTAATTCAGCTCTCTGGTTCGTCTGTCTCCCTGGCAGCCTCTCAGCAACATTACTGTTGAAAGTAAGCAGCAAAATCACTATATTATGGCCAAAAACAGCTTTTATACAGTTCCAACACTGCAATGCTTGGTTTATTAGGTATATATTAGAAAGAAACTTTATTAATCCAGAAGGAAGCTGCAGAGTTACAGCAGCTACAAAGAGCACTGTCCCTGAAGTATAGACAGTTGTATGAAAAAGTCAAGTTACATGTTTTGATGATATCGTATGTGAAAGTAAGTAAGCACATCCTCTCCATGGAACAAACTTAAATATGACATTCTTCTGCAAATTTTAACACAATTTCTATTTTTGGATCCAACACTGAAAAAAAAACAAACAAACAAACTGTAAAACAGGCCATAGCAGGCCACATTTTATGTTTTAGATTTACCTTTTATTTTGGGGGGGAAATGTTGTATTAAAATATGCAGGTGTGTTAACTCATTTAATTTTTCAATTTTTAACTAAACTTCTGTATACAACTGTATATTATGAAAAACATACACAAATTTCATAATTTACAAGACTCAAGAGACTTAACTCTGTGGGTTAGCAGACTTCTTAAATTTGTTTTTACTTGAATGCAAGTAAATACAAATTAAAGGAGTGCACCACTTACAATGAGCTTTTGTTAACTGCACTAAAACTTCTTTTCATGATTTTTCTCTTCAAATGCTTTTATATTTACCTTGGTCTTGTAAATCAACCTTGGGGTTAAGAGAGGTGCTGCATAAATTAAATGTGAGGTTCAAGAGACTTAGTTTCACATTTTTACTGTGTGTTGAATTAGAATTTTATTCAAGCTAAATAACAACACTTTTCCTTCAACAAGTTTCAGGTGAGCAAATTCTTTGTTCCGACATCACGTTAGAGTTGCTGCTTACTGACTTCAGTTCTGACAACTGTGGCACTAACGCAAATTTATTTATTACAGCTGTTGATGCTTAAAGTCCCTATCATTGAGTATAATTAAACTGCATTACTCACAGAGGGTGATCAGGACCCCAGTACACTCCGATTCCTGCACGAGCTCCATTCTTCCCATTGCCCGAACAACAGCCATCTGTATACACCACCACGGCATCACCTACAAACAAAACCATCACAAACAACACAGACCTACATTGGTTATACTAATATTACATGGCTGTTGATTTAAATGAAAACTCATACAGCCAAACAACTGCTGACAGAAGAAGTCTGAGACCATTACCCATGTAAGTAAACCCATCAGTACTGCCTGCAGCAGCTGAGGCATTTGGTTGAGTTGGTTCTTCAGATACTTTAAATCGTTTCAAACTTGTTCCATCATCCTTGATATCCTTGCATGGTCTTTTGGCTCCAACTGGAACACTTTTAGGCAACTGAGTATCATCTACAGAAACAGTAGCCTTAATCAGTATTAACAGCATTATTAAGTAAAATACGATGGTTTAAGAGAAAAGCATCTCTTCACAGTTTAAGAGAATATGAGTAAATGAAGGTATCCCACATACCGTCTGTTGTCAAAGGTATTCCTGTTGGTTCGTTCCTTACAAAAGCCCAAGCATCCACTTCAGAGGCAAACTTTTTATACTGGGCACGTGGAAATTTGTCAACTTGATGTTTGCATTCTTCCCTTTAGGTCGGAAGGCAGAAATGTAAGGTCATTATGATGAAAAAAACAACAAGGTGTGTTCAGTAAGGGTGAGCAAATGGACCCTGATCAATACTCAAGACTCTGACTTTTTTCTTTATCTTCACATGAAAATATACAGAACTGAAGAAAAGTCAGACGACCCTTAATTTATTCAATTTCCAGTTGAAAACAGCCGTCATGTACAATTTAATCTTTTTAGGAGGAGGTTAGATACAAGATAATCCACTTGCAGAAGGAAAACGCAAATAAAAAAATAAGTGGAAAAAAAACAGGAGTTTTGGAAAATTCATACAGAAACTGGAACTCCTAACAACCCTGCTAGGCCTGGTAGACCACCAAAAACTGCGACCATCACATAAACTGTTCTTAAAGCTTTCTTCTTTGAGACTGGAGAACATCAAGCTCCACTCTTGCTTCAGATCTGAAAAAAATCCACAGATGTTTCTGTCCATTCTTCCCCTGTGAGAAGAAGAATGCGTAGCTCTCAATGAGAAAAGGAAATATACAAAAAGAAGACGATTTGCAAATCAAACTAGGAAGTTGCTAGTGGTCTCAGAATAATGGACTGACCAGCCCAGAGACCTTAGCATCTCTGAATGTGTTTAGGATTACTTGTAATGTTTGACATAACATTAAATAAATGAAGGGCGGCATCTGACTTGTAGTTGTAATTAAAAAAATTATGTATTTTTATGAAATGAAAATGTGTCAATGCTGAACAACCCCTGCAAATATATACATATAGGCACAGACAGCCACAAGAAACAGCATGACTGCTTAATGAGGCAGGTCATGTTATTTCAGTCCACCAAACGTTGCTTAAACCAGTCTTCAGTCCTCCTATTAAGAGCAACTGAGGACGGGTTTGAAAACTACTGCACTAAACGGTGAGTTAAGGCGGCAGTTTATTCAACACTAATGCAAAAGCTTTTAGATTTTGTTTCTGATGTCAGTATTTGGTGTTTTTCACTGTAGAAATCACAGCGAAGTCTCCTTCTTACACGTACATGAAGACTTTTAAAAGCACATGGAAACACAAAGTACTGGCATCAGGTTATTAGCCAAGATATTAAGTTACTTAGTCTCGGATAGAAAAGAAAATAAGTGGTGCCACTCCCTGGTGTTCAAAGCAATGCTGAAGAGCTACCATGCTCACCATGACTGGTATACTCCGGGATTGTGGCCCTTCTTCACGGCGTAGAAGAAGCTCCCCTTCTTCCCCATCTCTTCAGCGCTGACGCAGAGGGCTCTGCGGACAATACTGCAGAAATTGGGCAGTCTCAACATAACCCCCTCACTCCCCCCCTCACACCACAGTCATCACCAACTAAACGAAGCAATTTACTCAGGCGTGTTTAGTTCACTTGCATATTTAACCTCTTACACGGAGTAAACACAGGCCAATGACGGACAGGGTAACGTTATAAACGAAAACGTAACCGGCTACGCAGCCAGTGAGATATTAAACAGACCTCTCGGTAGAAGACCGCTTAGCTGAACAACATTAAGTAAACACGCAGTAAATCATAAACTGAATAAATACACACGTTTTCAAAGCTGAGAAGTGTTTCTAGTGCTCGTAGCACTGCGACTAACCATGCAGCCTTCTTCACTGACTTTAAGGCGCTTTGCATCTGTGCGGCCTTAGCGCCCTCCTCCGACTGCAAAAACGCCTTAGCACTGTGCTGTGGAGTGCCCCATTTCCTCATACTATACAACGTTGAACACACCGTTCAAGTGATGGCAAGAACACTTTTAAACTGAAAATATTTATTTCACCTTCTTTGCACGGATTTGTGATTTTCCTTCCTTCCATTCTAATGCTTGACAGTCGCTGTTGCCTGTTGGACACTTATACTGGACAAAAATTAACGACAAATTAAAGAATCTGATGTTTGTAAACTTTTGACGTTTCCTTTATTACACAGACTGCAAGGACACCTGCTATATATTAAAATCAGTTCAATTTTCTTGGATAATATTTTGTTCGTAAATTGAAGGTAACAAATGGAACCCCAAATTGCAAGTCATTTAAAGATGATCTTTAGTATATGCATTGTAAAAAAAGAAAAAGAAAACAACGAAATAATTGATGAACAATGTTACACGATATATAGTATAGCATTTACCTCATGCAGCATGTGACGTTTGTGTTTTCATGTTGTATTATATTTGTTACTCATATTATTTGTAACTTTAAATAATATATTGATGTCTTGTTATCCCACCCCCCTTGGTAATGCTCAGTTAAAACTAGTCCAAACTCTTTTCTGTCCTATACAACCTGTATGATGTCCTTGATTTTCTCTGATCTGTAGCTCCTGGTTCCTCTATTTATACTGGCAGTGCTAACTAGTAAGTGGATCCTCATGGTTATAAAATCAAGGCATTGGAAAGATGGAAATGTGACTGTCATTAAACGATTCAGGCACAACTCACTTTAACTTACTTTCAGCTGAATCATATTTATTTTCTAACTGCATTTTTGTCGGCTAAAAATGAAAGTGCGCCTTCTATTGGCAGAAAGGGTATTTCTTCTTCTTCCCATAATGCTCACGGCGACGCGCTTTTACCGGCCTCTCGCGAGATTTCGGCCTCTTCCCAGGCCGTCGTTGACTGAGGTAGGTTACTCGAATGTGATCAGTTGGGTGGATAATGTGTTTAAATGTTTAAAATTCGCAATTTATTGCGTTTATTCGAGATATAGCGTATAAGCATATAAGGATACGTTAGATAAGGGTGTTTATAACACTGGATGGCAAGTCAAAGAAGCATATTTTTGGTACTCTGAAATGGCTACCCGACGTGGGTTACTTTATACGGAGTAGCGGGCTGAAAGGCTCAGGCCTGCATCAGCCTCATACGTACTAAGGGTGTATTTTAGGCGGTAAACCGTTACAGGGCTATTTTTTAAGTAATTACTTGGAGGTTTATTCCAAACTGGGGTTAACTAGCTTTAAGTTCTGCTTCTTAATGAAGTGCCTGGTCGTTAGCTGGCGATGCTAATGGTGTCATGCAAAGTGCCTTCCTCACCGGAGCTTTAGGTTGAGACGTTATTAAAGTGTATTCGAATAACTTAATGTCTAACTTAACACCGGAGTAAAGCGTACTTAGATGTGGCATGTCTCCTTGTGCAAAAACGAGCTTATAGCCTTTAAGCTTGGTGTTAGCCAAACCTGTAAAGGCTTGATCAGGGTAGATTCTCGCTAGCGGAGAAGTAGCTTAATGTTACTTTAAGGTTAACCTACTTGGTTACACAGGGATGTTAAATGTAGATATTGTTTTGTGTTTCAGACATAGGCCATGTTCAGTACCAGCGCGAAAATCGTGAAGCCAAACGGCGAAAAGCCAGATGAGTTCGAGTCTGGCATTTCCCAGGTAAGACTGTAAAATAAAGTTCATTTTTTGCCTTCATAACTGCAGTACATTCTGGACATGGAGTGTTTCTGCTAGGCATACTTTGGTGGCTTTTGCTTTCTAACATGTTTGAATCAAACGATCAGTTACTTAACTAGCCTCACTTGAATTGATATTGGTGCAGAGGAAACATTAAAATGTGTCGGGCAGGAGTGCTCCTGGACCAGGGCTGGAACGACTGCACTGTATAAACGTTGGCATCGGTTCTGTTCAATGTTCTTTGTTACAGGCTCTTCTTGAGCTGGAGATGAACTCTGACTTGAAGGCTCAGCTGAGGGAGCTCAACATCACAGCTGCAAAGGTTAGGCATGGTCTTTTTAGTCTTGTCAACTCATGTTTTCTTAAGTTTCAAAAATTGAGTTTGAGGTTTTAATGTATTGAATGAAAAATAACCAACGTGGGCACCCTGTGAGATGGCTCTCATATGGTTCTGTCTGTGTGGCGTATGGGAGCGTAGCACATTAGTGCCATGACGTACAGTCCCGTTCCACGACGTTGGATAGCATGCGTGTCCCCGGCTTTGAGCTGGTGAGGACGGCGCCCTGTATATTCCTAGGTCTTCTCAGAGCCTTTCAGGCTGTTACTGGGGAGGTAAACCATGCAGTGCACAATCTTAGCCTAGATTTTGAGAAGTAGAATTGATGCTAAAAGTACAGGGTGCTTGTTCACGTCTATGAGCAACCTGTTGACAAACCGGCTTTGTGCTTTCAGGAAATCGAGGTTGGTGGCAGCAGGAAAGCCATCATCATCTTTGTGCCTGTGCCCCAGCTGAAGTCCTTCCAGAAGATCCAGGTGCGTCTTGTGCGCGAGTTGGAGAAGAAATTTAGCGGCAAGCATGTGGTCTTCATCGCACAGGTAAGGACACCACCACACCCACATGCCATGCTTTCGACAGCTGTAATGCTGCGCTGTTGTGTATAAGCCTAAGTGAGGCCAAAGGAGTGACGTGTTTTTAATTTAAAACATAAGTGGGCTAGTGGTGTGAGCCGTATCATTTATATAGAGGGCTTATTTGAACTTAAAGCAAATAAGGAATGTCTTGGCAGACGATGTAACTAAAGTTGTATCCAGAAATGTTGTGTAAGTGGTCAGACTTCAGCATTGAGCCCATTTTCTTCTTGTGCCATCTTAATGAAGTGGAGTTTTTTTTTATTGCTGATCTTTATTTTTAAACAAATGTGCATAACCTCCATCCTGGATGTAGAGTACCACTGTCCAGCAAATTGTAGAGGTCTTCAGTCTTCACAGGGCTTGTGTGGCCGCAGGTTATTACACCACACAAGTGAAAGCATAACCGATCAACTATGAAAACTGAGACCAGTAGAGTTTCTGCTTGATTGAAATTAAAACTTGCACTCACACCAGTCCTTTTAAGGATGAGATTGAAGACCCTTGTTGATTTCCCCTGCTCCCAAGTGAAGCAACTAAAGAAATAAATCAAAGGCCCCATCCTGAGTTGAACTAGGTGGTGTTAGAGTAGGGAGAGCATCGCAGCATGCATGGCAGTGGTACTACAGGACCAGACGTGAGAACCATTGGCCTATTGCATTTCTTTTCTCTTTAATAAATGGTTTGTTAGGCTTATCTGAATTTACTGTACTGTGTAAAGCCTGGTTTTGTAGTGATATAGCAAAATGGCTAGTACTGTAGCGTTAAGGTTATTCTTTTACATGAACATTAACTTCCCATTAAAGAGGAGCTATCTGTGTGGTTAAAAAAATGCATGTAAGATGACTAAGTGTAATTAATCGTCCTGCTCCAAGTCAGTTCCGTTTTAGTCGTTAAGGTGGTCTTTCTCATCAAGTAGCGTTGCACTACCTTTGTAAATAATACAAGACTTTAGGCAATGTTGAATGACTGTACATAACCAACGTGGGCACCCTGTGAGATGGCTCTCATATGGCTCTGTCCGTGTGGCGTATGGGAGCGTAGCACATTAGTGCCATGACGTATGGTCCCATTCCACGACGTTGAATAGCATGCATGTCCCCGGCTCTTGGCTGTTGAGGACGGCGTCCTGTATATTCCTAGGTCTTCCCAGAGCTCTTGGCTATTACTGGGGAGGTAAACCATGCAGTGCACAATTTTTCTTGTTTAAGCTAGTCCATAAGCCTGGTTCTGGCCTTATGAAGCCTTTGTTACCAGGAAGAAAAGGCTTTGTCAACTTAGACATGTAATACCATATGAGTTTGAAAACTTTTCTGTGAACTTGTAATGAAAAAATTGACTCATTTCTAGTAAATTGACTGAGCTTGCATGCAGTTACTTGCTCTGTCTAACACTTACATTTGTTTTTCAGGTTGAGACCTTCGCTGGTGTGTACAAGAAGCTCACGGGCAAAGATGTTGTATTTGAATTCCCAGAATTCCAACTGTAAAGAGCAGATGGCAAAATAAATTTGTATACCATCATGTCTATCATCATGGTTATTCTTTATTCATCTGAACGGTTGACATTGACTTACCTACTGATAAGTTGTGTACAAGGTTACTTGCTTTGCACAAGAACTGCTTACAAATTGTTAGCTTTGAAGGTACTTGCTTGTTTACAAGTAAACAAAGTAAACAAGTGCAGGGATGCCTAAAGCTCTGAAGTGTGTTTATGATTGTATTGATGACTGATAAATGCATTTTAAGCACAGGTGTTTATTTGCTGCTGGCGGGGGGGCGGAGAACAAGCTAGCGTCTGATTTGGTTCAGAGGCAGTGCTGGCTAAATCCAGCACCAGTTCCTGTGGTTTTTGGGTACTGTGCATGTGACTTGAAGTTGGCTTACTAGGATTGCAATTGAGACTTGCTAAGCTAGCTCTAGTAGAATAGCGTTTTGTAATTCTAAAGTATGTCAGTGACAATTTCATATCTGAAAGTTTCTTGAATTAACAAAGCTATTAGGGAAGCATTTAGTACCAGTGCTTTTTTTGTGATCGACTTTATTGCATTTTTCATTGTTTTACAACAAGGGTGGGGAAAGGTAAGAGGTGGAAAGCAGGACAGTGATGTACATTTTTAGGAATACACATCAGTGCTTTTGACTTTCTTGTTGCACTCTTCATACATTGTTTTTACAGAACCACTGGATATCAGTAGAAATTGTAATAATGAATGATTATTGAATTTAGTCATTTCATAGGTTAAATAAGTTTTCAGGACTGGTTTTGCATTAACAGTGTAGATGCATGTAAGCAAAATCTTTAAAATGTGTCTGTGTAACAGTTTCACTGGACTGTCATTGGTAAGTTGAATGCAATATCCCAGACAGTACTGTTATGCACAGATGTATTGCAGATCATGAAGTTATTGGGAGGTTGTGGACAGGAAATACTCGACATAATTTTTGCAATGTTAAATTGTACCTTTAACAGTGATAAATATCCATAGTGACATGGCTTGGATGAGTGCAAGTAGTGCAGACTAATTTCAGTAAGAACACTTTTAAAGTCCACTGAAAGCAGGATAGAATGACCAGTTCTTCAGCACAACCTTTCAAGTGCAGAGTTATGAATTGAGTGTGTGTGTGTGTGTGTGTGTGTATATATATATATATATATATATATATATATATATTTTTTTTTTTTTCCCTCCCCAATTTCGTAATTCTGAAGCTCTATGAATGACTTATCTTTTGGTGTTTTGTCCCAGTCAAAGTGTGGGATGCTATTGGGTTTTGGGTAACACTAAAGAGGATGTCTGCAACATTGTAGTGCTCATCAGAAAATGATGCTCAAAGTAAATTTGTAGCAATGATCTGGAATTGAATTATGAAAGTGAGAGCATTCAGGAAGGTGGCGTGAGGAGAATGCTGAGATGTTTGGTGCTAAAACAGGTAAAGAATGGATTACCTCTTAGTTATAACTCATTCTAGAAATCTTGTTAACTGGGCTCTGATGCACTAATTTGCCTATACTAGTTAAGTATAGGTTTGCCGAGTAAAGCTCAAACAAGTGTATTTTACAAATTAATTAAGCATTAACTTTGCATGTTGCATTTTGGGTGGTCCATTTGTGTAGTATGTACCCAGTACTTAATGTAAGTAATCATTTTGATCAGGTTTCCAGGTGTGACATTATGATCTTTAACACTATAATCATTCCTCTTTTGCTTTTCCATTATGCTGACATCTTGGGTGCTAATGATGACTGTGATGATGAGCCAGACCAAGATGACGTAATGCTGTGGTTCTCAGTCCTGGTCCTGGAGTACCACTGACCTGCACATGTTACAGTTTTCTCTACTCCCACTTCACCTGATGCAACAAATTAAGTGGTTAGCAACCCCTTCTTACGGTGAATTGGATGAGTCAAAGCAGGGAGAACACTAGAACATGCAGGGCAGTGGTCTTCCAGGACCCTGCAGTCAAAAGAGCTATCCCCCAGGAGCTAAAGAAATAATAATAAAAAAAAGGTTATACATTAAGTGAAACAGATCAGCTGACAGCAAGACAGAGCACATGACCAGTGTTTGTTTCCCATGCCCTGCTCCACTGCATAATATAAAACGCATGAACCTTATGATGAAGTTACAGTTTTAAAAGTTAACGTTTGCATTTCATGCTTTATATTTCTACGGCCGGTTTTTTTTTGTTTATTTATTTTTTTTTAAATCTTAAAGTACATTAAATGCTACATAATCTCATAGATAGAGACAATGAGAGAACATTACATCAAAGAAAATTACGTTAGGAAAACTTATATAAACCCTACATGGGACGAATGCTACATTTTAGTTTTGTAACAAAATGTGTTAAAAGTGTGTGGATTAGAGTGCAAGTGTGGTCGCAGTGGTCAAGGGGAGGGGAAAGGGCAGCCAGGACACCAAAATGGTAAAATCCACCAATTTTAAAACCAAAGTGCTCCAACGTGAATATTTACAGATACAAACAACTTAGACAAAAAAAAACTAACGTGGCTCTGGGCAGCCCTATTTACTGAAATAACTAGATACAACAGTCTATTAACGACAAACAACAAACTGTATGAGTTAAATCGGCCCTATTTCAAAATCTCTCTCCACACTCCAGCTCACTCCCACTCTGCCGCGAGGCCAGGAGAATCCCGCGTCTCGCTCGCGGGCGGAACCATTCCTTCCTGAAGGGTAAAGTGCTTGAACACATATTCTTTAACATGGCAGAGAAATGTATTCCTTCATCCTCAGTGTAGCTACATACAGTCAATCTAATTCACATGTCTCTTTTTAACAGTTTCACTTTGTTTCCTCTCCACAGGAGATCATCGCGAGCCGAGGTGAACCTTTTTACCCGAATACAGGTGGATTCTCCCTGTCGCACCTGGGGACTCCAAAGGTAAGTAAAACGCTCCATCTGTTAAACAGTAGTGTTTATTTCGGTCTTTTACAGTCTTTATATTTCAGACAGACTGTATTTAAGGTCTCTGTAACTCTTGTTTCAGAGTCTTGCCATAAAATAAAGTTTATTTTTGCAATTAGGCTTATTATATGCCCTGTACCCTACACTCCCCCTCCCCCCAAAAAAGAGAAAAAAAAAACAAAAAAATAAAAAACAATCATTTCAACAGGACCCTACTATTTTTGGGGGGCTTGCTAGGTTAATAAAGGGTTTCAATTACATATATTACATATATGTAAATGAGCTGCTCATACACCGTTACAGGCAGCCTGTGCTCCATGTTACTTTGCAACATGACTCTGATGAGACCGCCTACTCTGATCCTGTGTACTTTGCTCTGTTCGACCTTTCAGTAAACACAGTTTGTCCACCTGACAAACTCAGCAAGAGCAGGTAGTGTTTTTCTGAAGCATTTCTGTCGCATAAATCCTTGAAGTCTTGTAATATTTTCAAAGCTTTTCACACTGAGGATGGCAGACCGGTCAGCTGTGAAATTGAACGCCAGTCAACCACATTTTCTGCAGTTCAACGACCTGGCCTGTGAGGCCATCGGAGGAAAGGTAAAAACTGACCATCTGACCATACATTCAACACCCCTAAATAACTGTTGTTTAAAATGATACTATCAGTTCCACAAATCATGTGAATTTGCCTGTGATTTGATGCCTGTGATCTTATGTCCTTTACGCTAGGTAATTTTTGCAACTGATGAATGGTTTGCCCCTGCTCAAAATCTCTTAAAGGTATTAAACAGACAGTATTCACACATTGTTCAAATATACAGAGAGTTTTTTCTATCACTGAACTCACTGCTTTGTTTTGAAGAGAGGGCCTCCGGAGTTCCTAGCCTCAGCTTTCACAGAGTTTGGCAAATGGATGGACGGTTGGGAAACGAGGAGAAAGAGAATTCCAGGTATTATTCCTTTTATAAGAAAAAATTCCAGTGGACCTACTTAGACTATTTCCAGTCTAATCATTGATCCACTTTATGGGCTTGGATAATTGCAAGTAGTGTGGACTAATTTCACCTTGCACTAACACCTTCACTTATCCATTCCCTTTGATGATTGATCAAAATGAAGGGAAGAAAGACTTCATGAAAGTATTGCAACTGGATGTACAATATATGTCCAAAAGTATCCAGGTGTGCCCTCTAACTAGTGACTTCAGCTGCTTTAGGGTACACCCAATGCTGACACAGCAGCACCCCCTAGTTGGAATATTGTGCCTCCTCAGCTGTGCATTCCTGTTTTGTCCTGCAAGGTAATCCACCCTACAAACTGTACTCATAGGCACGAATTTCCTAACTGAACGAACTATTTATGCCTTTAGGTCAATATTTTCTGGTACAAGCCAATATATACCCCGGCCAAGTTACATATTTTGGCACTTTTTGAAAGGAAAAGAAGTAAATACAACATTTACTGAAAACTATTTTTTTCCAAAAATAAAAAAAAATATCAATTGTAAATGTTAATGCACAGTTATTTTATATATAAAAGTACAATAATTGTGGCATGTACACATTTGGACACATTTAAGTTCTAAAGTCTCAGAACATATTTAACTAGGCTTTAATGACTTGTCAGGATTATTTAGGCAGGTCAAGAATTGTCATCAGGAATTGTCAGCTGTGTTTAATAAATTATCTTAACAACTTATTCCAACACTCAAAACCAAGGGCTCCTCAAGCAGCTGGCTGAGGGTCTGAAATTTTTAATTGATGCCTACAAAGCAGGGGAAGGCAAATGGTGTTTCAAGCTCACAATTTCCACTGTCTGAAATGTCATTAAGAAATACCATTTAAGGCTCCTGTCTACTCATTTTCATGGATTTCTTTCAACTATTAACTATTTGAATAATCATGCAAGTCTTGGAATGTCCAGAGCCACCAAATCATTAAATATGTCACCCAAAATGAGTATTCCATTTTGTTGCCACTGTGGAAATGAGAAAGGCTTGTTGGCAGTAAGTAATTTATAATTATGAACTATTGGGGAATATTTTTGCTATGTTGTTGTTGTTTTGGTTAGTTTTTCTGCAATCCAAATGTTAAGAGTAAGTTGCCAATTAGTGGACCATGCCATTCCTTTAGAGAAATGTTTGAGTAGATACGATCTTGTAATCTGTGTGGAGCAGCCAGACTTTCTTCAAGAGGCCACCATGAGATTTGAGCATTTGAATTTAGCCAGACTGACAAAGGATGAAGAAAAAACAAGTAAAAATACAATTTGAACTTGGGGTCCTCCATCTGATTTACCATGCTGGAGAGTTGTGAATTTAATTAGAGGTTGATTTTTTTCAGCATTGAGTCATTTTCCTGGAAAATATGAATATACATAATCTAGAAGATAGATAATACTTAAATGTTTAATGTCATCAAGCATGCAGCCGTTTTCAGCATCCAGCATTCTGCTCCATAATGTTTTGTTGCCATCTTGCAGGTGCTGTGTTAAACACTGCTTGCTGTTGCTGGGACAGCGGTCTGCTTTTGTACATGCACAGACAGAGAAAATGAAAGAAATCAGAGTAAGGGTACGCATGCATTGAAAAACCCAATTACTGAACTAAAATCCAGCTCTGTTTATCAGATTTTAAGAAATCCATAACAGCCTTAATCCGATCTAAGAAATTGGTGTGTGCTGTTTATGTGACCACTTGAATAATCAGATAACTCCTGAAATCCGATTATGATGGGATTATTAAGTGCATGTAAACCCACTCAATGAACTGGCAGGGAAAAAAATGCTGTTGGCCTTTTCTGTTGGGACATTTTTAAAATTACTTTTTCTCCTGTTTTCTTCAGTTTGATTTGAGTTGGGTGGGACTCAACTTGGCACAGATGATATCAGATCTGCCAAAGCTACTCGTGTTCCAAATTTGTTAACAGTGCTTCTTATAAAGGTTTATTACATTATTGTTCGTAGCGTAGCTAGACCCTTCTTCCCACTTGTGTGCCTTGGAGATGCAACAACATCTAAGTAAGCCAGAAGCTTTTTGGAAACACGTGCTGTGGACTTGAGTATGTGTGTTTAATGATTTAGGCTAGATTCCAACCAAGGCAAGTCTAATGCTGAGTGGAATAGGTTAGCGCTAATGCTCGTTAGCATGTTAGCTTAATTTCACTTGTATCATCTACTGTTCATGTGTAGATAATCACTAATTGGTCCTGTCGTCCTTCCTGTGACACAAGTGTTTAATTACACACACAGAACATCTCCATAGAAAATAATTGGCAATAGAATGTGATTCTTAGCCTAAAGCCAGGGTTACACTACACGATTTCACCCTGATTTTGGCCCTGATTCTCAGTCTGGCTAAATCTGTGCTGGTTGGCTCCAGTTTGCAGATGTTTAGGTCAGTTGGAGTCAACAGTTGGAGAAAGAATTGAATAGTGTGCAAAAGCTGCAGAGTCAGATTTTTGGCCTCCCGAACGCGGTTCAGACCAGTCAGAGTTCATCAAACGTTTGATTTTTTTCAACCTGACTCTGAGCCTAATCTAGTAGTGTAATTTGGTCAGTGACTCAATCTGAACGGACTCCTGCAACGGCCGATGAAAACTGAGAGCGTGAAAGAAGAAAATACAGCAAGTAAACAAAGAAAAATGGCAAAAAGTCTCACCTGCAGAGCGAAGCTTTTTAATGAGTTGAGTTTAAGACATGAGCACACTCATTTTTATGTATATTTAAAACCCACATTTTTAGAGCTCACGTGAGTTCAGTGAGTTCTGTTCGGTTGAACAACAGCTTAAAAGTTGAGTAGTATTTCAGTCGCCCAAACAAATCTGCAAAAACCAGACAGTGTGAGATGCCCAGTCTTTTTCTAATCTGTTAAAACTTTAAACGTCATGTAGTGTAGCCAAGGCTTAAAGTGCCAAGTGTCAGCTAGAGGGGTATAAAGCCCCCCAGCATTTGACATGTGGAGCAGTGGAACTGCATGATGGAGTAATGAAGCTCGTTTCAGTACATTTGGGATGAGTTGAAGAGGCATTTGTGATTCAGAACTAATCATTCAACATCAACAGTAAAAGCATGTGTGGATTTCCAGTGTTCTTTACCAGGAAACTTTTGTTTCTTCTGCTGGTACCACTCATGATTTCACTGTTGGTGTAAGGATAACTCATTGATTCACTCAATGGGACTTTAAACTCAGAAATTCTCAAAGAACCCTCTGGACAGCAGCTCACTATCTGTTGGATTATTCCATCACCAAAAACCTCCAGACCACCTACGATTCCCACAATAGGATCTGTCATATCACTCCAAAAAAACTATGAGAGTGTTCCTTGTTTGAGAACTCTGCTGAGCTGTAGAACCAGACTTAAGGACTTATTTTCTAAAACTAAAAACACTGAGCAGTTGTATGTTATTTGCATATTGGTGTTTGTTGTGTGTGTGTGTGAGTGTGTGTGTGTGTGTGTGTGTGTGTGTGTGTGTTTTCCCAGTTTCCACACTTTTCCATAGCTCATGCAGGTTACCCTTAACACATAGGGGCCTCTCTGTGGCCCCTATCAGGTAGAAGGTTAAAGTCTCTGATGTCACTAATGTACATATCACTGAATGTAGTCAGTTCCTTACAGCAGTGTTCCAACATCTAGTGTAAAGCCTTCTCAGGAGCAAAACAGGGGACGCACTCCCTTTTAATACCCTTGACTATGGAAGACATGTGTACAAACTTCTGGACATACTGTGATGCTCTTTGATCTTGTGATCAGGGCATGACCTTGTCAAATCTCAGGGCTCCTGTTTCTGCCACTTTACTTAAATGTTATGTAGTGATCTCATGAAAGATGCATAAACAGTTTCTCTTGTCCTGTGTGTGAAAAGGTCACGATTGGTGCGTTGTGCAGTTGGGAATTCCTGGTGTCATTCATGGATTTGATGTGGACACATCGTACTTCACAGGAAACTACCCACCTTCAATTTCTATTCAGGCCGCTTGCCTTGGTATGTATGGAAAACCACAAGAACTGGGCAGTGGTACTGAATTACAGTAAAATAATGGTAAATCTGAAAAAATTTTCTTTGGGGACTGTTTTACCTAACAAAGTAAAAATAAACATTTTTTGGCATGCATTAAATGGCTAGTTTTGCTCAGAAAACAGAAAAATACAATGTACTTTGTAAAGTAATAATCATAGACATATATATTAGAGATCTAGATAGCTAATCACATCATTATATCTTCAGTGGATACATTTGTATCAGTGTTGCTTGTTCCAGCCTAACTATAGATTTTGAGTAAAATCTCAGTTTGTATAAGAGACGAGTATTAATGAGCTCTAATGTTCTTTATATGTGTGTTTCAGATGAGCTATCTTTGCCATCTTTAGCTCTTGAGGGAGACCGTACAGGAATGGCTGCTTCAGAGAGCCAGTTTGAAGCTGTATCACAGGTAATTCCATATAGTGTGACTCCATGCAGGCCGAATTCTCTTACCAAATGGTATAAGCAAATGAATGGACTAGTATTTGTGATTGCCAGCTTCACTCAGAGAATTGGGAGGAGCTCATATCAGTGACAGAGCTGAAGCCTGGATATGCTGATTCATGCCACAACTACTTCAGTGTGACCTTCCCTCACAGAGTCACCCACATTCGCCTGAACATGTATCCTGGTAACACATTTTCAACGTTACGGACTCAGTATTTAGGGATAAAGATTGATTTAACTAGTCATTATATTTAAAATATTTACTAAGTAATATATACGTTGTTTTCTAGGTTGTTACTTGAGTAGATTAATCTAGGCAATCTAGTGTGAATTTAAAAACAAGAAATAGCTTGGGCTCATTGTTTCACCATCATAAAATGAAACAAATAACAATTAACTATGGGATAAGTGGTTAGTATTTTCTTGCCAAACTTTTACTTTTCCTACAACTTCAATATGGAGAAAACCCTCTGTATGAATATGCACTGTCAGTAGCTTGGCGCTAACATTGCAAATCCCATAGGGGACCTAGCAGAAATTAGCACTATTTACATGACACCCTTATCGAGAGCTACTTGCAATTTCACACGTGTTTGCAAATGTAGCGTTAGGAGTCTTACCTAAGGACTCTTAATAGGATAGTGTGACATGCATACTCGGGTGGGAAATCAAACACCCAGACAACTACTTAGAGGGCAGCAGTATTACCCACCACTATATACCAGCCGCAGGAGTATTGAAAGGCTAACAGAGGTTTATTAACGCATGTTAATGAAATATCTTGTTACATATCAATATTTAATAACTTTATAAGTAGCCTTTGTTTATCTAATTATTGCTAAGCAGCTCTGATGTCTGAATGTATATTTTTGGATTTACAGTTTGATTCACAACAGTGTAAAGACACCTTGCTTTAACACATTTTTTCCTACTTGTTCAGTAATGATACTTTTTCCTACTTAACCATAGTGCCGGTTCAAAGCAGTTATTTTGCTGACTGTTAACAGATGGAGGTATTGCAAGACTGCGAGTGTATGGGGTTGGTCAGAGAGAATGGTCCACTGCATCCAGTCAGGAGGAGATGGATCTTGTTGCCATGGTCAATGGCGGGGTGTGTGTGGGCTATAGCGATGCACATTTTGGTCACCCACGCAACATGATTGGTACTGGTTTCCTTTACTTGACACTTCATAAACAGCATATACCAAGACCTAGCTTAAACATGCGTTAACATTTAAGTAACAGTTAACTTGATGGGCCCTGCACAATGCAAGAAGCCCATCAATTGACTACTGTCTTTGGGTTTTATTAGAAGATACTGCACTGTCCATTTTCCCAGTTCTCATTTCCAAGTGAATACTACAGATCACTATTATATGAATAAATTAAGAGCCATGAGCTATTTAATGAAAATAGTGAGGCAATGTACAAAAAGTAAAACAAACATCTACATCTGTATTTTTGCATGTTTTCAGGTTTGGGGAGGGCTGACAACATGGCTGATGGGTGGGAAACAGCTCGGCGCTTGGATCGTCCCAAAATGTTAAAAGTACAACGATTCACCCAATAGTTGCTGAATTATGGGAAATTCTATGCCATATGTTAACCACGTGGTCTGATTCTCAGGTGGACGAAAAGGGAATTTTGCAGGTTCCTGGCTTTGAGTGGGCCATCTTCAGACTTGGGCATCTAGGTGTGATCAGCAATGCTGAGATAGACACCAATCATTTTAAAGGTAGCTTCCTCATCATATGGCTTATGCTTAGCGATTTTATTCCAAAAACAAAAATGAGATTTTTGCTGTGAGAAATATTCCATGACATTTCTGTGGAATACTTATTGTAACATCGCATCATACCCATTTTTGTATAATTCTTGAGGTAATTTCCCCGACTCGTGTAAAATTGAGGCCTGCTGTTTGACCTCCGAGGAGGAAAAGACTTTCATAAGCTGCAAGTGGAACAATAGCAAAGGCCCCAGATGGCGAAATCTGCTTCCTCCTCAGAAAGTATGTCTGTCTTGATTTATAACGTGCTTTAAAAACAGTTTCCTTTAAATAGTGTATTTAAATTGCATGGTGCCTTTAAATAACACTGGCTAACATCACCATTGCAAATTTAGTTAATCATGCAATTGTATCATGCATTGTATCTTTTCTCCTCTCCAGCTGAAGCCTCACTACAGGCACTTCTATTCCAGAGACTCTGTGCTGCAGTGTGGGCCTGTAACTCATGTGCGGTTGCTCATAGCCCCTGATGGAGGGGTCAGTAGGCTTAGGCTGTGGGGTCATCCAGTTTTCAACAATTCTGCTAATCTTGGTCAAGCCTCAAAACTGTAACCTGATGATGTGTGTTGAGGAAAGGAAATTCTTAATGTAATATAGCATTGTGATCACAGGATACTTGAGTAGAATTCTTTCTATTTCATGTTTCACGTTCTGCATTTTCACATGTGAAAAGATTTAAAATTCTGATTACTGTCCTGTGTCTGAAGAGTTTAATGCCTTTCAAAGCTAGTTCACAGAAAGTGAAACACTAATTAGTTAGAAATTCATTGCCTGATGCCTGAAACATTGGTTTTCCATAGTTCTGAGAGAAAGTTTTACCTAAAATATATTTTTATAATGCATTCATGTTGGAGAGGTACATGCATGGTATTGTGAGGCAACATAGCATTTAAAAACTCAAACTCTCTGGTTTCCATCACATGAGTAATTGGCAATAGTGTTCATGCCAGCTATTACTTAGTCTCTTCTAACTGGTAACTAGCTTAACCTGTTAAATTGTAACCCTTGACTTCCAGCTGAGTGGTTCAGTGCTGTTTGTCTTTCCTTCAAATTATCACATAAATCAACAGAAGACTGTTGTAGTGCACTTACTTGGGAAAAGTTTTGTGAGTAATCTGCAACAGGCTGTAAGAGCTTTTGATGGTTTTCTTTCAGCAGTTACTCACAGAGTGTATGCTATACTTTTAAACTTATATAAGATAACTATGTTTATCTGTTATAAATAACATAACTGTAGGAATTAGGTGTCAAAAACAAAGAGTTCCACTGTTACAATCTCTCTGATTTAAGTAGGTGCATAAAATAATTTATTAACGTGCATTTTGTAAATTGAATTTTAGACTAGACAAGTGAAGCTTCTGACCATTTCAGTTAGAATATTTTACCTTCATTAATATGAGTGCCATGCAAGCTATAATCCAGAAGGAGAATTTTACTTTCTTATCTCAAAATCTGATTTTGGTACATAATCACTGACTGTCTTTAAACCACTGTCGGCTCAAGAGGGTAGTGGGTGTGCACAGCAGTGTTATCACCGCTGTAGTTTATTATTTATTGGTAAAATTGTGGGCATTTTAACTTACCCATCAATGTGCTGTAACCTTTTACTCTTTAACAGCCTCAAAAACACCATTAAAGTTTCTTTTTAAGGGTTTGTGTCTGCTTCCTTTCCTGGATTGTTGTTGGCCTCTGGGACATGGCTAAAGATTTTAACTTTGTGTAGCTAAACTAGTTTGTAGACTATCTTGTAGGCTAAAATCACTTGTTTCAATCAAAATCCTTTTTAAGTTGGCTGGCTTGGTTAAAAAAGATGGTTGAATTCTATCTCTATGCTTAGTTGCACAAGAGTTACTGCTAACCAAAAGCACAACCTCTGGATTGCTAACATTTTGTCATGTTGAACCAGTGCAAAAACATGCTAAAAACACCAGTTTCAGCCTAGATAAAAAAAATTGTTTGACAGTGTCAGTTTTGACTGTTCAAACTGTGGTAGCTTATTGATTCAGAATGTCCAGTCATTTGCTGTCTAGGATGGCTTGGTGTGGCACAACCCAGAGCTGGGGCTTTACATTTACAGCTGTTTGTAGCTGTGTTGTGTAAGTGATGTAAATGGTTGCTTAGGGCCCAAAGCCACAGGGGCCCATGCATTATATTATTATTATTATTATTATTATTATTATTATTATTATTATTATTGTTGTTATTATTAGTCAAAAAAGAAGCATTTAAAAAACGTATTCTTTTTTTTTTTTATAACTAATGAAACCATGATAGTTATTAGTATTGGACTCTTTAGACCGTACTCTACATCATACACCTTTGCGTTCTTCCAGAATCTAGTCTGCACAGTTTAATGCCTGCTTTAATGAAGCCAGAGTGAATAAAGACTGAAGAGGGAAGACATTACAGGTAGTTTAAGATGTTTCAGTGCTCTTATGAATAGTGTTTTCAACCACACAGCATCTGATAAAACACATGCATTTGAAATGGCACAGCATGTTTACGAGAATATGTGGACCTATAAAGTCATCATTTAGCTCTCCATTTCTGTGAAATGGCTTTAGAACAAGAAGATATCTTAGTTATGCAATAAAGTTTGGACAGACAGCTATTTAAGACAGTCTTCTGGAACAGTGCTGAAATGTGGATGAATTTATATGTTTCACAGTTGTAGCCCTGATGTACTAACAGTTTCTGAAGAACGAAGAAGAGTTTTCCCAGGCTTTCTTGTTATCATTTTTGTCATGTCTTTCTTCAGATTAAGCCAGTGGTCCACAGCAGGATAATAGTGCCAGCACAATGTAGAAGGATTTTACTAGAGTCACGCACTATCAAGCCGGTACAGATTTCCTGGTTTCGCTACAGTTAAGACACACTGGCAGATACATAAGGGTGGATGCTAGATTGGATGCTTAAGCCTGGGAGAGGAAACAATTGTCTTATTTGACTCTGAGGAATTTACCAAGAAGTTTGAGCAAGTTAGGGTCGTGTACTAGAACCATTTCTAAAGTTCAAAGATTTTTGGACTGTGAATGTAAACTGTTACTCAGATCAGAAGATCTTTTTCATGTTTTGTTTCCTGAGTGTTTATCAGCATGTGAACATTAACTGAAATGCATTTTCATTTTCTATATTTTCTATAAATGTTTTGTTCCAAATGGCAAAAAATTAGAAGATAAAATTCTCGCTGTTTTGTCTTCAAGAAGAAATATCCATCAAATGTGAGAACACATATTAGATGTTACTGTGCTCTTAAAAATAAATGTCCCAAAAAGGCTTCTTTTGGTTTCCTACAGAGCCTTTCAGTGATGGTTCTGTATAGGACTATTTTAGTAAATCACATGCAGATTTCACAAGTGTGAAGAACCTTTGAACATTTTAAAGAACCTTTACATAATGTATACCTGTTTAGGTGAAGCATTTGATGACCATTTGACTTAAAAACATCAAAAAACTGTAAACATGGTCATAGTGGAACACTTTGTTTGTAGTGTTATAGTGTTTAACCAGTGGAGATGTCCTTGTGCCTCCAGCTTGTCTTCTTATACCCAAGCACACACTCAGAGAAATGCCAGTGTTGCAGTATATACATGACATAAAGTTTCAGGTGCCTTTTTTTGAGCAGATAATGTTGGCATTGGCTTTGAAATGTGTTTTATATTGTGTTTTATTTGCCTAGACCAGGGGTCGGCAAGCCAAATGTTAAAAAGAGCCATTTTGTCTTTTCAACATAAAATCAAACCACTTTGGGAGCCAGAACATTTTATGTCCATTTCACCATCCTGATTGTAAATTTGCCTCAGTATGTGCTAATGCACTAATATAGGCTGTATATATATATATATATATATATATATATATATATATATACACTTTTCCCGCATCTCCAGCAGGAAACTTTTCTGCCAAAGTAGAACAATTTCTTGTAAAATGTCTCACAATGTTAGATTTTCTTATTAAGCTGAAGTAATCTTTTTGTTTGAATTTTCCCATTCCACCCTAAATGGTGCCTGGGGTGCCAGAATGTAACTGCTGCACCATTTAAGCTGGAAGCTGACTTCAGCTTCACAACTGTGTTTGACAGTTACTCGTTGCAAGTCAAATGTATCAGAAAACCAGATAGAGTGCTTATAGATGCGAAAAAGTCCATTTGTCCTACATATTTCTCTTTGCCTTTTCGTTAGCTACTAGCTAGGCCAGATTGTTGTCTGCGTTGCTATGTGACCAGCAGTCTGCGTGCAAACCTTCAGGGCTAATGGTGAATTAGCAGTTATTAAGGCCATTTATTATTTAAACTGTGGTAGAACAATCAGCAGAGCTTTATTTTACTGCAAAGGAGGATTATGTTATTTTTACCTGAAAATCTAATTCTGCTGTGGAGCCGCAACAGGTCAGTTAAAGAGCTGCATGCTGCTAACCCCTGGCCCAGACTTTGCAAGTTGGGTGGTAGTCAAGTATAAACTTTGGTGGCTTTGAAGAACAACCAATATTGTGTAGCACAAAGGATAGCAAAGCTTCATCCGCTCCTCTACTTTTGCTGGGTTTCCAAAAAAACGCTCATGTAAGGCAGCAGCTTGGGGTGAATGATATGACCATTATTTTTACCCTACATTTCACATGAAATAAATAACCTCTACTTTGCAGAACAATAGTATTTCTTTGCCATTATATTTTGCTGATGGGCAAAATGTGATTTCTTTTTTTTATTCTTATCAGAGTCCATGGATGCTTTCTTCCATCAGAGGTAAGGAAGACAAGAGATCTGGTAGGTTCTCTTCTAAAAAAAGGCAAAAGATATTTTGATGTAACTAAATTACAATTACAAAGGCAGGGTTATAAAATGGCCAATGAGTTAGAGGCCATTTTACCTTGACCATTTGTGCTGCTGGCCACATGTCAGGTGTTCTCAAAAAAATTCTCGTCCTGGAGACCTTCTGGTCTGATCATTTTAGTGTTTTTACTGATCAACCACACCCACTGCAAGTTAGGAGAGACTTGTCAGTTGTCTGATGACTGGAATCAGGTGTGTTGGGAGCACTAAAGACATTAATATGTGCAGTCGGCTTCCAGGACCAGGTATGAGAACCACTGATCCTAAATGTTCCTAATATTCACAGATAATAATGCCCACATAAACGTTGCATTCAAGTGTGGTGTTATGAATACCAGGGTGAGGTCAAATGATTCTATGACCTTTCCAGTTACATATGCTTGAATGTATATATGGAGGCCTAATATTAAGCAGGACATGTTGTTACTGTATAGTTTATGTACCCTTTGATTCGTAATCCTCATAGGTGATAAACTGAGTTAATTAATGGCACCTCCTGTAATATTGGTTTCTCGTATTGGATTAAAATGATAGCAAGCTGACAAGCTTGCCACAATTATTTATATGTCCACATCGAGTGCTTTATGGTTTATTTTTACTTTTCACTCATATTTTTTTATATTTCTCCATGCCTGGTGGGATGAGAAGCTGTGCAACTGTAGTCTCTTTACAGTTATCTTTATTCAGCTGTGAAGTGTGCTACTCAAAAGTTAGGAATGTCTGTTCTCATAAATACACAAATACAAATCAGATTTTGTTGCAGATACATAAACAAAATGATTCTAGCAGATGCATGTACAATGCAAAAAGTTATAGCATAGGTAACTACCAATCTGTCTGAAGCTGGAAAAAGTAACTTGACAAAAATAACATTTCAAGTGTGTCTACAGCTGTAAATGATCCCTCACTGACCAAAAAACATACAATAAAGCATTTCAAATAATAGTATTAAAAACAGCCCAAAATATCTTCTATTGCAAAGTAGTGATCAAGTCAGAGAACTAGACTGCTGGTTGTGAGAAAGGAAAGAGTTCCAGAGGTGGGGAGCTAGTCTGAAAAATGCAAGTAAAGATTGTCTTTCTTCTGTACAGTTAAAAACAATACTTTATTTAAGTTCATTTGAATGAGTAACACTCAGACTGTGATTCAGGTTTATCATGAGCATACTGTTTTGAGTTGTTGCTTAAAATCACAAGATAACAGAAAAAAAGCATATCAGCATATTTATGCTGCTTTGAACATGTGCACAGCTTCAGATGTCCTTGAACAGATTGACCATGTGGAGACTGAGACAGCACCAGACATCCCTCATTTCTCTGGAGTGAAACAAGCTGTATTGTGATTAATTACAATGCATGATGCTCACTCATGCACCACATACACTTAAACACACACACACATACACACACACACATACATACACACACCCAGAGTTGTCACTAATCCAGAGCTCCATTCAGAGGATGAAGATAAGTGTGTCTTGTGCTGAGCTGAAATGAGTGAGGGGGAGTGAATCACCGACTCAGCTTCTTTGGGCTGAGAAAAGGTCAATGTAAAATATCTGATGTGTCTTTATTAGCATGAAAAATGATGGTATAGATAGTATATCCACAACAGCATCTAGCCTAGTAGCAGACCTTTTGTGATACTCCCCCATCCAAATGAGTCTATCACGCTTCGTTAACTTGTTTGAAATAGGGAGTTATTGGAGATGCAAATGGCTATGGAGGGTCTCTGTTGGCCTCATCGTAAATGAGCTGGCTATTAGATTCAATATCACACAGAGATGCATGTCTCTCAGCCTATACTGATGGGTATTTACT